TTTTCATCATAACAACAACCCTGTGAGGTGGGATGGGCTGAGAAAGAGAGACTGACCCAGTGTCACCCAGCCAACGTTCATGCCTAAGGTGGGACTAGATCTCCCAGTCTCCTGGTGATAGGCCCAAAGTCACCCACCTGGCTCTTAGGCCTAATGCGGGACTAGAACTCACCGTCTCCTGGTGATAGGCCCAAAGTCACCCACCTGGCTCTTAGGCCTAAGGTGGGGCTAGAACTCACCGTCTCCTGGTGGTAGGCCCAAAGTCATCCAGTCAGATTTCATACCTAAGGCGGGACTAGAACTCACTGTCTCCTGGTGATAGGCCCAAAGTCACCCAACTGGCTCTTAGGCCTAATGCGGGACTAGAGCTTACCGTCTCCTGGTGGTAGGCCCAAAGTCACCCACCTGGCTCTTAGGCCTAAGGTGGGGCTAGAACTCACCGTCTCCTGGTGGTAGGCCCAAAGTCATCCAGTCAGATTTCATACCTAAGGCGGGACTAGAACTCACTGTCTCCTGGTGATAGGCCCAAAGTCACCCAACTGGCTCTTAGGCCTAATGCGGGACTAGAGCTTACCGTCTCCTGGTGGTAGGCCCAAAGTCACCCACCTGGCTCTTAGGCCTAAGGCAGGACTAGAGCTCACCGTCTCCTGGTGGTAGGCCCAAAGTCACCCACCTGGCTCTTAGGTCTAATGCGGGACTAGAACTCACCGTCTCCTGGTGATAGGCCCAAAGTCACCCACCTGGCTCTTAGGTCTAATGCGGGACTAGAACTCACCGTCTCCTGGTGATAGGCCCAAAGTCACCCAACTGGCTCTTAGGCCTAAGGCGGGACTAGAACTTACCGTCTCCTGGTGGTAGGCCCAAAGTCACCCACCTGGCTCTTAGGTCTAATGCGGGACTAGAACTCACCGTCTCCTGGTGGTAGGCCCAAAGTCACCCACCTGGCTCTTAGGCCTAAGGCGGGACTAGAACTCACCGTCTCCTGGTGATAGGCCCAAAGTCACCCACCTGGCTCTTAGGTCTAATGCGGGACTAGAACTCACCGTCTCCTGGTGGTAGGCCCAAAGTCACCCACCTGGCTCTTAGGCCTAAGGCGGGACTAGAACTCACCGTCTCCTGGTGATAGGCCCAAAGTCACCCACCTGGCTCGTAGGCCTAATGTGGGACTAGAACTCACCGTCTCCTGGTGATAGGCCCAAAGTCACTCAGTCAGATTTCATACCTAAGGCGGGATTAGAACTCATCGTCTCCTGGTGATAGGCCCAAAGTCACCCAGCTGGCTCTTAGGCTTAATACAGGACTAGAACTCACCGTCTCCTGGTGATAGGCCCAAAGTCAGCCACCCAGTTTCATCGCTAAGGCAGAACTAGAACTCACAGTCTCCCGCTTTCTAGCCTGGAGCCTTAACCACTAGACCAAACTAGGGAGTGGGTGAGAAGATGCACCTTTGAGGCCCACCCCATCCATTCCCTGCATCTGAAGCAACCCCCCCCCCCGGCCATCGGAGGGAGGGGAGGGCAAGACTTGCAACTAGTAAAAGTTGCCAGGATCCCTCGTGGGGAAGCCGGCTTGTTTCTGAACTGAGGGCAAAATGTGGTTTGTGAACGTGGCGTGTGGCCAGGAGGTGGCACCTTGATGGCTTTGGGATGGTAGAGGCTCAAAGAGGTGGTCAAAGTTTGAGAGCTGCATGCAACGAAATTTCATTTTAATGTATGCCAGTTAGTGTACATTCAAAGAGATAATAAAGTTATTCTATATCAGATAGATGGATATCTATCTATCTATCTATCTATCCATCCTATCCTATCCTATCCTATCCTATCCTATCCTATCCTATCCTATCCTATCTATCTCTAATCTATCTAATCCATCCATCCATCCATCCATCCATCCATCCATCCCATCCATCCATCTATCTAATCTAATCTAATCTATCTATCTATCTATCTATCTATCTATCTATCTATCTATCTATCTATCTAATCTATATTTAATCTATCCGTCCATCCATCCATCCATCCATCCATCCATTCATGTATTCTATCTAATCTATCTATATCTATCCATCCATCCATTCATCCATCCATCCATATCTGTCTATCTGTCCTGTCCTGTCCTGTCCTGTCCTGTCCTGTCCTGTCCTATCTTATCTATCTATCTATCTATCTATCTATCTATCTATCTATCTATCTATCCATCTATCTAATCTATATTTAATCTATCTATCCATCCATCCATCCATCTATCTAATCTATCTATATCTAATCTATCTGTCTGTCTGCCTATCTAATCATCCATCCACCCACCCACCCATCCATATCTACATCTACATCTACATCTACATCTACATCTACATCTACATCTACACCTATCCTATCCTATCCTATCCTATCCTATCCTATCCTATCCTATCCTATCCTATCCTATCCTATCTCTCTCTCTCTCTCTCTAATCTATCCATCCATCCATCCATCCATCCATCCATCCATCCATCTATCCTAGCCTATCCTATCTCTGTCTCTGTCTCTGTCTCTGTCTCTGTCTCTATTTCTATCTAATCTATCCATCCATCCATCAATCTATGTATCTAATCTATCTCTTGCTAAGGGCCGTCTTTCGGCTTTGATCCTAAGGCAGGCTTCCTCAGCCTGGGCAGGCTTGGCCGGGGATCATGGGCCTTGTAGTTAGCAACGCTTGGGTGGGTGGGGGGACTGCCCCTAAGGTCCGAAGCGACATCCTCGGGGCAACAAGGAGCAGCCCTATTTAGTCCTCCGCTCCTTTCTTGGCCTTTCCTTTCCTTAGCCCTTCCCCTAACAACACCCCTGTGAGGTAGGCCGGCCGAAGAACAACGAAACGGCCCCCATTCCCTCCGTGTGTATGGCTGAAACTCAGCTCTCCCCATACTTAGTCCGGTGTCTCTAAACCCCCCCTCTTCTTGCCCTCCCCCAGATTATATCCAGCCTAATGTCCCCGAAGAGGCGGAAGAGAACGTGGAGCTGGTCATCGTTCCTTCCACCCCCATGGAGGGAGAGGCGGATTTGGTAAGTGGGTAGGTGGGGGGGGCGGGTCTCGCCCTGTGGGGGGGGGCATCTGGGTCCCTTTGGGTCACCGTCCGCCGGCAGGACCCATCGAAACTCTGGGAATATACCGGCAGCTCCCGATTTACGACCGCAATTCGTTAGCGTGAGTTCTGCCCCATGTTGCAGCTTTTCTCTGCCACATTGACCGTCGTAATTTATTTATTTATTTATTTATTTATTTAATTAATTAATTAATATACCGCCCTACTCCCAAAGGACTCAGGGCGGTGAACAGCCAAACAGTAAAGATACATAAATGCAAAATTTAAAAACAAAGTAACTTTGAACGGTCGCTAAATGAGCCGTTGTAAGTGAAGGAGTACGCGTACTGAAAAAAAAAAAAAGGTGACTCGGGACCATTTTTCACACTTAACGACCGTGGCAGCATTCCCGCAGTCACCCGATCAAAAATTCAGATGCCTCGAACCGACTCACTTTTACGACGGTTGCGTGCGATCCCCTTTAGCGGCCTTCTGACAAGCAAAAGACAAGGGGGAAGCAATGGGGATTGGGGGGGGAGAAGAAGAGACAGGACGGTCTAGGGTGGGGGGGTGGCGTTGGACTAGAAGACGTTGTTAAGGATATTGTTGTGTTACCAACCAGCAGAGTACGTGCACAGAGAAACGGTACTGAGAGCAATGAATACAATACATACAAACTGGTTTAACAAAGCTTTTACTTTGTCGTGAAAAACAATTGCCTAGTCTTTTAGTCAATCCAAGTCTTGAGCCATTCAAATCAGTCCGAAGTTACAGATATCTTCTTACCAGACAAACAGCAGTAATTCACGTTGGTAACAAATCGCGATGGTAGCATATCCATCCACGTCTTCACCCACGACAGTAACAGTTCCAATCAACAGTTCCAGTCAAGCAGCAAGTCAAGCAATGATGAGAGCAGGTCCAACAATGACTATAGCTGGGCTTCCTTCTTATATACAGTTTACATTAGTAATTATCCACTTAAGATAAGTGAGGTCAGCAGTGCAATGACTCAACAGTACAGTTATGATAATTGCAGTCAGCAGTCATTAGTCATGACAATGACTCAGCAGTACAATTACTCAGCATTACATTTAAAAGTTACAGAATACATTTAAAGTTATAGCACACATATATTGCCTGGACAACTTGTTAGGTTTATACCATATCCTAGCAGACCTCGGATCTATTCAAATGTATTGATTGGGACCCTGCCATCGTGCCGCCCTGGGATTGCATCTGCAGCCAGCGATTTTGCAATGGGGAGAGAGGGAGGAAGAGTCTTCCCTAAGCACAGGCAGTCACTTGGATTCCCCCCCTCTCTGTCCCCCCCCCTCAAGACAAATCCCAGGGAAGGCCAAAAAAAAAAGGGGGGGAGTAATATTTCTGCTTGCAATCTTGCACACTTCCTTTGCATCACACACCCCAGCACATCTGGTTCTGCGCTTCCACGCCAGATGTTGTGTTAATGGGATCCTGATTTCCAGGCGTTTTTTCCCCTCGGAAAAGCTCTTAGGAAAAGTTTATTCGTCAAGCATATATAAGATTACGGGTAAAAAGGATAAACATCCTTTGAATACCATTTGAAAAGGGTAAGTAAAAAGGAGTATTAGGACAGGGACGGTAGGCACGCTGGTGCACTTATGCACGGCCCTTATAAGGGGATAACTTGGGTGAGTGGGGGGGGGGAAGAAACTGGCTTGAAACAACCCCACCCTTTTCGTCCCCCTGACTTTTTTGGGGTTCCCAAGCAGCAAAGTTCAGGTCGTCCTCGACTTACGACTGTAACGGAGCTCAGAATTACCAGTCGTGAAGTTGTGCCGGTCGTTAATTGGATGACCGCATGACCGTGCCTGGTTTTACGAGCAGGGTGGGGTTTTTTTTCTTGCAGCGGTCGTTAAGTGGATCACTGATCATTAAGCAAATCCATTCATATGTATGTATGTATGTATGTATGTATGTATGTATGTTTTTCTTTCTTTTTCGTAGGTTTTATTTGTATGTCTCTTTAGCCAGGTTCTACCTACGTAAACCAAGATATTATGCAGCCCTACTTCAGTGAAATCACAATTCACTAGTTTCTGGGCTTTTTTTTTTTCTTTTTCTGGCAGCCAGCAGATGCTTTGCTGTCCATTGGGAGACTAAGATAGATCTATTTCAGCCTTATAAGGCCTCATCAGTTAGCCACACCCTCATCTCATCTCATGTATGTATGTATGTATGTATGTATGTATTTTTCTTCAACCGGGTATTTTCCTATGTAAACCAAGTTTCTCAAATTGCAGCCATAGCTCAGTGAAATCACCTCCACTATCCTAGGCTTCTTCAGACAGCAAGCATGCATTTTGCTGCCTATTGCTTGCTGTCTGAAGAAGTCTAGGATAGTGGAGGTGATTTCACTGAACTATGGCTGCAATTTAAGAAACTTGGTTTCCGTAGGAAAATACCCCGTCGAAGAAAAATACATACAAAAAAGCCTACGATAAGAGAAGAAAGCATATATATATGTGTGTGTGTGCCGAGATATTCTCAATCTTACACAGGAAAAGACCCGAATACACCAAAATATATATATATATATATATATAAATATATATATATATATATATATATATATATATATATATATATATATATATATATATATATATGTATTTCTCTTTAGCCAGGTTCTTCCTACGTAAACCAAGATTTTTATGCAGCCCTAGTTCAGTGAAATCACAATCCATTAGTTTCTAGGCTTTTTTTCAGGCAGCCAGCAAGCACTCTGCTGCCCATTGGGAGACTAAAGAGACTAAGATAGATCTATTTCGGACTTATTAGTCCTCATCAGTTAGCCACACCCTCATCCCATGTATCCTCCCTGTAAAGGTACAGTATTTGTTTTCTTTCCTTTTCGTAGGCCTTTATATGTGTATTTCTCTTTAGCCAGGTTCTTCCTACATAAACCAAGATTTTTATGCAGCCCTAGTTCAGTGAAATCACAATCCATTAGTTTCTAGGCTTTTTTTCAGGCAGCCAGCAAGCACCCTGCTGCCCATTGGGAGACTAAAGAGACTAAGATAGATCTATTTTGGACTTATTAGTCCTCATCAGTTAGCCACACCCTCATCCCATGTATCCTCCCTGTAAAGGTACAGTATTTGTTTTCTTTTCTTTTCGTAGGCCTTTGTGTGTATTTCTCTTTAGCCAGGTTCTTCCTACGTAAACCAAGAGTTTTATGCAGCCCTAGTTCAGGGAAATCGCAATCCACTAGTTTCTAGGCTTTTTTTCAGGCCTAGATTTTTACAGGGAGGATACATGGGAGGAGGGTGTGACTAACTGATGAGGACTAATAAGTCCGAAATAGTCTCCTTAGTCTCCCAATGGGCAGCAGGGTGCTTGCTGGCTGCCTGAAAAAAGCCTATATAATACACACACACACACATATATATATATTACAAACTATTCTAAAAGTATATATATATTACAAAATATAAAATACATATATATTACAAAATACAATATATATATATATATTGGTGGGAAACTAGGAAGTAAACGAAAGGTTTCCGTTAAGTACGACATAAATATCGGCTGTGTGACGACGCTGCAAACGGCCGTAAATTTGCCCAAAACCCCAAAGTGTGATATCACATGACGAGCAAGGGAGGTTGGGGGTGGTCACTGTCGGAATTTCAAATCTGGGTCGTAAGTACAGGTACGTCCTCGACTTACATCCGCAACTGAGCCCAAAAGTTCTGTTGCTAAGCGACACGGTCGTTAAGCGAATTCTGCCCCATTTTACGATCTTGGGACATTGCAACCGTCGTAAATGTGAGTCAGTTGTCAGGCCACATGGGGATGCTTCAACGGGCGTAAGTGTGAAAAAACGGTCAGTTCTAACTTCAAACGGTCACTAAAACCAACTGTCGTAAATCGAGGACTCACTTTACCTATATTCCCTCAGATAGGAACTTTGAACGGTCATTTAAGGAACCGGTCGTAATTCGAGGATTATGTATGTGCATGTCTGTGGAGGACACAAACTCGTCCAGGGAAAAATCGTCCCTCTCTTGAGACAGTGTGGCTTGTGTTACTTTGTCAAAATTGTGGGTTTCCCCCCCGCCCCCTCCCCGGTCTTTGTGCAGAAACCATGCCTCCGAAAACGGCTGTCCTTGTCCGGCGTCACCGAAGAGATGTGGACGGAGGAACATCTGGCCGCCATGGACCAGTTCCTGAAGGACGTCACCCAAACCATGATTGTATTTTACGTCGACGACTTCGCCGGGTTGAAAGTGGAACCGGTGATACCTCACCAGGTTAATCAATCAACCAATCAATCAGTCAATCAATCAGTCAATCAATCAGTCAATCAGTCAATCAACCAATCAATCAGTCAATCAGTCAATCAATCAGTCAATCAGAACACAGCTGGAAGGGACTTTGGAGGTCTTCTACTTCTCCAACCTTCTGCTCAAGCCGGAGATTCTACACCGTTTCAGACAAAGGGATGTCTGATCCCTTCTTAAAAACCTCCAGCGATGAAACATCCCACAACTTCAAATTTTATTTCAATAAATCAAGGAACGTATTTTCCCAAAGCGCCGGAAGGCAGGACAAGAAGCAAGGGATGGAAACGAATCAAGGAGAGAAGCAACCTGGAATGAAGGAGAAACTTCCTGACAGTGAGGACAATTAACCAGTGGAACAGCTTGCCACCGGAAGTTGTGGGTTGCTCCATCACTGGAGGCTTTTAAGAAGAGACTGGACAGCCACTGGAATGGGATAGGGCAGAGATGGGAAATCTTTTTGCCGTCGCGTGCCAAAAACGGGGGGAGTGCGTGGGAGGGGGGTTGGTGCGCGCGTTCCCACACCCATAATGCAATGACTCCCCGCACTGCCCCTGCGCCCGCTCTCCCCCGTGCATGCGAGAATGACCCCCTCCATGCCTTGTTTTGGGCATAGCAGGCCTCCCTGAAGGCTCCAGAAGCCGGAATCAGCCCATTTCTGGACTTCTAGTAGGCCCGTTTTTCGCCTTCCCTAGGCTCCAGAAGCCTTCCTGGAGCCTGGGGAGGACGAAAACAGCCTTTCCCGGCCCTCCGGAGGCTGGAAACAGCCCATTTCTGGACTTCCAGTAGGCCCATTTTTCACCTTCCCTAGGCTCCAGAAGCCTTCCTGGAGCCTGGGGAGGACGAAAACAGCCTTTCCCGGCCCTCCGGAGGCTGGAAACAGCCCATTTCTGGACTTCCAGTAGGCCCATTTTTTGCCTTCCCTAGGCTCCAGAAGCCTTCCTGGAGCCTGGGGAGGACGAAAACAGCCTTTCCCGGCCCTCCGGAGGCTCTCTGGAGGCTGGAATCAGCCCATTTCTGGACTTCCAGTAGGCCCGTTTTTCGCCTTCCCTAGGCTCCAGAAGCCTTCCTGGAGCCTGGGGAGGATGAAAACAGCCTTTCCCGGCTCTCCGGAGGCTCTCTGGAGGCTGGAAACGGCCCATTTCTGGACTTTCATTCGGAACGTTTTTCGCCCTCCCAGAGCCTCCGGCCGAGCCCTGGACTTACCTGGCACCTGAAATGGGCTGCATGGAAACTTCTGGAAGGGGAGGGGTGGCATGGGCATGCGTGCGCATCTTCCGCATGTGCGGCAGAGAGCCGAAAATCAGCTGGCCAGCGGGAGGCACACAAGCATGCATGGTGGAGGTGATCTAGGGCGACGGCTCGCGGGCCTGCGTGAAATGGTTTGCATCACTGCTATAGGATCTCCTGCTTGAGCATGGGTGGACAATGACCTCCAAGGTCCCTTCCGACTCTATTCGGATAGCTAGTGCAGGCCTGTCAAATTGGAGCCCGCGGGCCGGATACACACCCACTCCAGCTCCGCAAGGCAAAAAAAAAAATCCGATGTGTCACGATATGCCCGCGACGCGAGCGGGTTCGACAGTCTAGTGGAGTTCTTCAAATTGGCAATTTGAAGACAGGTGGACTTCGACTCCCAGAATTCCCTGACACAAAGGCATTCCGTTGGATACGTTGATACCAGTGGTGGGTTCCTCCCGGTTTGGTCCGGTTCGGCCGAGCCGGTAGCGGTGACGATATGACGTCACCAAACCGGTTCTCCCCCCCCGCCCTCCCCCCCACTCCCCACATTATTCTTACCTTTTATTTGGTCCCACCCCCAATCTATTGCTGCCTGCTGAGCCCCAGCTGATGACTAGAGGGAAAAAAACTGTTTAAACTCTTGCCGCGCGGCTTCAAAGGGCCGCCCTACAGCTGATCAGTGTTAAAAGCAAACAAATGATTCGGGTCGTAAGTGCGAGGACTGGTCGTACGTGCGAGGACCTTCCAGAAATGACTCTGACCAGCTAGCCACGCCCACCTAGTCACATGACCTCCAAGCCACACCCACAAAATAAGGCACGCCCACAGAACCGGTGGTAAAAAAAATTTAGAACCCACCCCTGGTTGATAACGTATCAAACGTTGTGGCCTGCTTACTCTTTTGTAATCCCTTCCTCTGCAATCTCTCCATTGTTCTGTTAAGTGGATCCAGCTAAGGTAGTGTTGGGTCAAGCAGAGACTTCCGTAAAGACTGTCGGAACAGAACGGAACAAAACGTCATTCGAACGGAAGGGACTTTGGAGGTCTTCTCGTCCAACTCCTTGCTCAGACAGGAAGACGTTATACCGTTTCAGACAATTCTGGGAGTTTGACGTCCACGGAGTTTTTTTTTTAATTATTATTATTATTATTAGATTTATATACCGCCCTACTCCCGAAGGACTCAGGGCGGTGAACAGCCAAGAGATAAAACACACAGATTACAAAATTTAAAAACAGTATAAAAACCTAATTAAATAAATTTGGCCCGGAACAGATTAAAACACCCCTAAAAGTTTTAGACAAATTTAAAATTTACAATTAAAAAGGGCGGTTAGGCCAGGCCAACCTGTTGGAATAAAAAGGTCTTGAGGGCACGGCGGAAGGTGCGTAAATCCGGGATCCTCCGTATCTCCGGGGGGAGCTCTTTCCAGATAGCGGGTGCCTCCACAGAGAAGGCTCTTCCCCTGGGGGCCGCCAGTTGACACTGTTTGGCCGACGGCACCCGGAGGAGCCTCTCTCTATGGGAGCATACTGGCCGGTGAAAGGCTACTGGTGGCAGCAGGCGGTCCTGTAAGTACCCGGGTCCTAAGCCATGGAGCGCTCTAAAGGTGGTAACCAAAACCTTGAAGCGCACCGGGAAGACCACCGGGAGCCAGTGCAGCTTGCGCAGGAGGGGGGTCACATGGGAACGCCACGTCGCTCCTATCACCACCCGCGCGGCCGCACTCTGCGCCAGTTGGAGCCTCCGGGTGCTTCTCAAGGGGAGCCCCATGTAGAGAGCGTTGCAATAGTCCAGGCGGGAAGTGACGAGGGCATGAGTGATCGTGCATAAGGAGTCCCGATCCAGAAACGGACGCAACTGGCGAATCAGGCGAACCTGATAAAAAGTCCTCCTGGCCACAGCCGCCATATGCTCTTCTAAAGACAGCCGCGAGTCCAGGAGGACACCCAAGTTGCGAACCCCATCTGTGGGGGCCAATGACTCGCCCCCAATAGTCAGAGATGGCACCAACTGACTATATCGGGACGCCGGGAGCCACAGCCACTCAGTCTTGGATGGGTTGAGCCTGAGTCTGTTTCTCCCCATCCAGATCCGTTCGGCCTCCAGGCACTTCAAGGGCATCATTGGGGTGGTCCGGGGTGGAGATGTACAGATGTACAGCTGGGTGTCATCAGCGTACTGATGGTACTTCACCCCGAAACCACGGATGATCTCACCCAGTGGCTTCACATAAATGTTGAACAGGAGGGGCGAGAGGACCGACCCCTGTGGCACCCCACATATATATATAATATAGTATTGTATATTTGTTTTCTCAGGTTTGTATATTGTATTGTATATAGTATTGTATACATATATACAAAATATATATATTGTAGGTTGAGAGAACGCGACGGCAGGGGACTCCCTTGTCCCCGTCTTGATTTTTGCCGTTCTCCCGACAGGAGCAGAAACAGCTGGCCTACTTCATCCGCCAGGAGAACGCCGAAATTACGGAGGAGAACTTCCACGAAGTGGTGCAGTTCGGCTCCGTGCGCAGGCCGTACATCGATTCCCTGATGCGCACGCTCAACGCGGCGTATCTGCCCCGCCTCTTCCGCAAAGGCTCCTGGCCGGAAAGCATCAAAAACGAATTTTTCTCCGAAATTTATCATTTCATGACCTCCCTGACAGGTAGGCTTCGGCCGTTCTTCCCGTCGGATCCGCCTTTGCGGTCACAGATCCGCGGGCTGGTACTTTGGGGTTGTCCCAGGTCTCTGGCTGCCGATACGGGGTCGTCCTCGGCTTAACGAGCACCACTGAGCCCAAAATGTCTGTTGCTAAGTGAGTCGTTTGTTCAGTGAGCCTTGCCCCGTCGTACGACCTCTCTTGCCATAGTGGTTAAGCGAATCAGTGCAGTCGTTAAGCGAATCCGGATAACCCACCCCCATCCATCATCATCATCATCATCATCTTCATTTAACAACTCCATAATCCCTTGCGGGGTGGAATCTGGGCAACTGAATGGAGTTAGCAGTGTGTTTTTAATGGCCGGATGCCTTTCCTGTCTCCAATGCGGAGTTTTGTTCGGCAGATACATTCTCAGTGTGCCCAGAGAGAGAAATAGCTGCCTCTACCTAGGCTCGAACTCACAGCCTCCTGATTGTGAGGCGAGAACGCCACCTCTGGGCCACCGCACCACTAACCCACCCCCGATTGCTTGTCCCAGAAGGAGATTGCATGAGTTTTGCCCCGTTTTACGACCTTGCTTGCCATTGTCGTTAAGCAAATCACCGCTGTTGTTGAGTTAGGATCACCGTTGTTAAATCAATCCGGCTTCCCCCATTGGCTTTGCTTGTCAAAAGGTCACAAATGGCCATCACGTGACCCGAGGACATTGCCACCGTCATAAATATGAATCGGTTGCTAAGAATCTTCATTTTTAATCACATGACCAAGGGGCGGAAGTGTGAAAAAAGGTCATAAGTCATGTTTCTCAGTGCCGTTTGTAACTTTGAACGGTCACTAAACGAACTGTTGTAAGACGAGGATTAGCTGTACTGGTTGTAAGTCACTTTTTGGGTGCCGTCGTAACTTCAAACGGTCGCTAAACAAATCATCGTCAGTCGAATGGACTACCTGGGATTGTGGGTGTCTCAATGGAGGACCGAGGAGAATGAGAATTGGGAGGGGGTCCTAAGGAGATGTCCCGAGGTCTCCCTCCCTCCAAAAGCCAACAAAAACCCTAATCCCCGGCCCTCTCCGTCCGCAGATACTCGCTACAAGATGAAGGGCCGTACCGTCCTTTACATCCCGATCGAATCCTTCACCATCACCCCGGAGGTGGCCCAGAAGGACAAGGCCGTGGTCCATCGTCTGGAGAGTGAGTGATGGGTCTTGGGGTATCTGAGGGGGGGGTGGGGGGCGCTAACCGGATGGGAAGAGGAGGAGATGGGCCGCTGGGGAAGACCACACCAGGCGCGATCATCTCACCGGCCGCTCTCGTGTGTTAGTGGATTATCCAAGCCGCCTCCGCGCTGCGTCTATCATTCCCAATCTGGTCAGACGCTGTGTGTGCACCCGGTCTTACGGCAGGGCAATGAGTCCAGCTGCAGGGGGTGGGGGGAAACGGGAGGACGAGAAACCGGGGGTCTTCTTCCCAGCTCGGCTCCTCTGGGGGTCCCGGGGAAGCCCGTTTTCTTCCTCCGCGTCGGAATTCACCAAAGAAGCACAATCTAGGCAGGATACAAATGAGGATGCAGGGAGGGAGGGAGGAAGATGAGGGAGGAAGGAAGGAGAGGAGGAAGGAAGGAAGAGAGAGGGGGAAGGGAGGGAGGAAGGAAGGAGAGTGGAGGAAGGAAGGAAGGAAGGAAGAAGGAAGGAAGAAGATGAGGGAGGAAGGAAGGAAGAAGACGAGAGAGGGAAGGGAGGGAAGGAGGAAGGAGTGGAGGAAGGGAGGAAGGAAGGAAGATGAGGGAGGAAGGAAGATGAGGGAGGGAGGGGGAGGGAGGGAGGAAGAAGATGAGAGGGAAGGTAGCGAGGGATGAAGGAGAGTGGAGGAAAGAAGGAAGGAAGGTAGATGAGGGAGGGAGGAAGGAAGAAGATGAGAGAGGGAAGGGAGGGAGGAAGGAAGGAGAGTGGAGGAAGAAAGGAAGGAAGAAGATGAGGGAGGAAGGAAGGAAGGAGACAGGGAAGGGAGGGAAGGAGGAAGGAGTGGAGGAAGGAAGGAAGGAAGATGAGGGAGGAAGGAAGGAAGATGAGGGAGGGAGGGGGAGGGAGGGAGGAAGAAGATGAGAGAGGGAAGGTAGCGAGGGATGAAGGAGAGTGGAGGAAAGAAGGAAGGAAGGTAGATGAGGGAGGGAGGAAGGAAGATGAGGGAGGGGGAGGGAGGGAGGAAGGAAGGAAGGAAGATGAGAGAAGGAGGGTTAGGGAAGGAAGGAGAAAGGTAGGAAGGAAGGAAGTTAGAAGATGAGGGAGGAAGGAAGGGAGGGGGAGGGAGGGAGGGAGGAAGGGAAGAAGATGAGAGAGGGAAGGGATCAAGGGACAAAGGAGAGTGCAGGAAGGAAGGAAGGAAGGTAGAAGATGAGGGAGGAGGAAGGAAGATGAGAGAGGGAGGGGAAGGGAGGGAGGAAGGAAGAATGAAGATGAGATGGGGAGGAAGGAAGGAAGGAAGGAAGGAAAATGAGAGGGAGGGGGGGGAGGAAGGAAGGAAGGAAGGAAGGAAGGAAGGAAGGAAGGAAGGAAGGAAGGAAGGAAGGAAGGAGGGGAAACCATCCCTGTGGGGTTTGTCCATTCACGGATTTTTGTTCATCTGACAGTGGCCATTCGGGAGGGGTGGGCAACAGGAGGAGGACGGGCTGGGGTGGGTGGGTGGTCTCAGACACTGGAAAAAGGTCTCGAACTCCTAGAGGAAATCTGTCCTTCCTTCACGACCAACGTTGGGGGGGGGATTGTGGACGACCCACAATTGAGCCCCAAATTTCCATCGCTCAGCGTGACATCCATTAAGGGGAGTTTTGACCCGTTTTACGACTTTGCTTGTGAATCCACCGCAGTCGATAAATCGGTCGCCCGGTCGTTAAGCGAATCCGGCTACCCCGTGGACTTTGCTTGTTGGGAAGGTTGCAAAAGGGGATTGCGTGACCCCGGGACACGGCGACCGACATAAGTATGGGTCAGTTGCCAAGCTTCTGAATTTTAATTGCGTGACCCTGGGGAATGCTTCAACGGTCGTAAGTGTGAAAAGCAGTCATCGGGGGGGGGGTTAGTGCCGTTGTAAGTGGAGGATTACCCGTAAAAGGTTTTGGGCCTGGTGGGGTGGAAATGAGGCATCCCCTGCAGTTGGGGTGTGGGGGAAGCTTGTGGGGGGGACCCAGTGGGAAGATGGACAGGGGTCCCTCCAGCATTTCTGCGGTCAGTCATAACGGCAAATGAACATGGACGCGGTGGAGCGGCCGTAACATTGGGACCGTGTCGTAAGTAGCTTTTGAGTCTGCGGTAACTTCAACTGTCATTAAGCGAGGACCGTCTGCACAGAGTCCTCAACGTACGACCGCAATTGAACCCCAAACGCACGTGGTTAAGTGAGAAAGTTGCTCGGTGAGCTTTGCCCATTTTCCCGCCTCCGTTGTTAAGTGAATCGCTGCGGTTCTGAAATTAGGAACACCGTCGTTAAGCGGATCCGGCTTCCCGGTGGACTTGGCTCGCCAGAGGGGAATCGCGTGACCCCGGGGATGCTCCCACCGTCATAAATCTGCGCCAATCGCCAAGGATCTGAATTTGTGACCACGGAGACGGTGCAACCGTCATAAGTGTGAAAACGGCCATAAGTCCTCTTTTTTTTCAGCCCCGTTCTAACTTCGAACGGCCACTAAGCGAACGGTTGTAAATCAAGGATTACCTGTGTTCTAAAAATTCTGCTTTAAATGTAGAGGCCGATTTGTTAGCACTTCCCCAAATTAATTCAAACCATGGTTTATTTCCACGGCCTATCAAGGTTAGAAGCCGGCGTTACATTGTTACGCAGCCTCCTGGCAGACGGGTTGGGGCAGCCTTCCGGCCGAGCAGAAATGCCCAAATTTGGGTGGTGATTGTTATCGGGCACTATCTCCGACAGGCCTTGCCAACGTTTCCGATGCCGTTCTTGCTTTTGGAGTGTCGAGGGGGTGTCGGAATTCGCACCGGGTCCCGTTCTTGAACCCTTTGCCCAATTTGCCTGAAAGAATTCCAAGGCCGTGGGGCACGCTGGGAGGTGAAGTCCAGCCGTCTTCAAAGTCGCTGAGGTCTGGAAACTTTGGGATAAAACCAGGGGCCGGCGAACTTGGCAACTTTTAAGATTGGTGGACTTCAACTCCCAGAATTCCTCAGCCAGCAGGGAGGAATTCTGGGAGTTGAAGTCCAACAAGTCACGCTTTTAAAGTTCAGAAGTTCTAAAAAGTCCAGAAGTCTTAAAGTCCAGAAGTTTTAAAAGTCCAGAAGTTTTAAAACCCAGAAGTCTTAAAAGTCCAGAAGTTTTAAAAGTTCAGAAAACTTAAAGTTCAACAGTTTTAAAAGTCCAGAAGTCTTAAAAGTCCAGAAGTTTTAGAAGTTTTTAAAAGTCCAGAAGTTTTAAAAGTCCAGAAGTTTTTAAAAGTTCAGAAGACTTAAAGTTCAACAGTTTTAAAAGTCCAGAAGTCTTAAAAGTCCAGAAGCAGAAGTTTTTAAAAAGCCCAGAAGTCTTAAAAGTCCAGAAGTTTTAAAAGTCCAGAAGTCTTAAAAGTTCAACAGTTTTAAAAGTCCAGAAGTCTTAAAAGTCCAGAAGTTTTAAAAGCCAGAAAAGTCCAGAAGTCTTAAAAGTCCAGAAGTTTTTAAAAGTCCAGAAGTTTTAAAGTTCAACAGTTTTAAAAGTCCAGAAGTCTTAAAAGTTCCAGAAGTCTTTAAAAGTCCAGAAGTTTTAAAAGTTCAGAAGACTTAAACAGTTTTAAAAGTCCAGAAGTCTTAAAAGTCCAGAAGTTTTAAAAGTTCAGAAGACTTAAACAGTTTTAAAAGTCCAGAAGTCTTAAAAGTCCAGAAGTTTTAAAAGTCCAGAAAAGAAGTTTAAAGGTCCAGAAGTTTTAAAAGTTCAGAAGAGTTAAAGTTCAACAGTCTTTTTAAAAAGTCCAGAAGTCTTAAAGTCCAAAAGTCTTCTTAAAAGTTCAGAAGTCTTAAAGGTCCAGAAGTTTTAAAAGTCCAGAAGTCTTAAAAGCCAGAAGAGTTAAAGTTCAACAGTTTTTAAAAGTCCAGAACTTTTAAAAGTCCAGAAATCTAAAAGTTGCCAAGTTTGTCCAGGTAATCCTCGATTTACAACAGTTTGTTTAGTGACCGTTCAAAGTTACAACGGCACGAAAAAAAAGTGACTTAGGACCGATTTTCACACTTAACGAAGGTTCCAACATCCCCACGGTCACCTGATCAAAATTTGGACACTCGGCAACTGGTTCCTACTAATGACGGTCGCAGTGTCCCGGGATCATGTGATCAAAATTCAGATGCTCAGCAGCTGACTTGTATTTATGACGGTCGCAGTATCCCGGGGGTCATGGGATCCCCTTTTGCGATCCTTCCGACAATGGGTAAGCCAGATTCACTTAAGGACCGTTTTACTAACTTCGCAACTGCCGTGATTCGCTTAACAACTGTGGTGAGAAATGTCGTAAAGTGGAACAAAATTCACTTCACAAATTCCGATCGCTCTTGTGGTCATAAGTCGAGGACTGCCGGTATCTCCGCTAAGGAAGAGATTAGAAAGAAAGATATGGAAGGCAATGAACAGGCCCGACAGTCTATAGCTAGTCCCCGATTTACAACGTAAATTTGGGGCTCAATTGCGGTTGTAAATCGGGGACTAGGCAGTCCTCGACTTATGACCACAAGAGCAATCGGAATTTGCGTCGCTAAGCAAGGTCAAATAAGTCAACGCCTGACTTTACGAGCTTCCTTGCCACGCTTGCTCAGGGAATGACCGCGTTTGTCCAACGGATCCGGCGGTCGTTAAACGAATCCAGCCCCCAGCATTCGCTTTGCCCGCGGGAAGTCCCTTGGGATGGTCGCAAAAAAGGGGACCGCGGGACCCTGCGACGGTCGTAAATACACACCCCTGAATTTTGATCCCTGGTGTTTGTCGCAACGGTTGTAAGCGTGAGGACTTTGAATGGCGGCTAAACACATGGTCGTAAATCGAGGACTGGCCGACCATTGGGGTTCAGACTTGTCGGGGTGAGCTGAGGGGGCCCTCCCCATCTCTTTTATTCCCCCATTTGCGTTGCCCCCCCCTCATTTTTGTGTGAGACCACCCAGCCAGGGGTCTCTCGCCTGCGCCGGGCGGGAGGGGGGGCCGTCTTACGTCTCTTTCCCTGCCCCGCAGGC